CCTGTAGGGGGGACAGGCCCGACATAACCCTAGCCCGCTGGGCCGTCGCGGCCCCCCGGCGCGCGCGCGGCCGCGTGTCTCCTCGCCTGCCCCGAGCCTCGGGAGGCCCACACCGGTTTTGCTCACCATGTGAGGGCGGCGACGGCGACGGGCTCGTCGGTCCTGGGCCGGGGTGGGCGGGGCCTCTCCGGGGGTCCCCTCGTGGTTTAATGAATCGCTTCGCTCATGCCGCCAGCCCTCGAGCGCTCTATGGGGCCTCTTTGAAGCCTCTTGGGGGCCTTTTTGGGGCCTCCTAGGGGCCTCCTAGGGGCCTCTTGGGGGCCTCTCCGGGGGTCCTCTCGTGGTTGATTGCCAACAGCCAGGGCCCGATGGCCCACCCCGCCCAGAACCGTGCGGCTGCGATCTCCGGGGCATGATCCTCGCCGCTCTCTCGGCGATGTGCCCCGAGCCTCGGGAGGCCCACCCCGGTTCTGCTCACCGTGTGAGGGCGGCGACGGCGACGGGCTCGTCGGTCCTGGGCCGGGGTGGGCGGGGCCTCTCCGGGGGTCCCCTCGTGGTTTAATGAATCGCTTCGCTCATGCCGCCGGCCCTCGAGCGCTCTGTGGGGCCTCTTTGAAGCCTCTTGGGGGCCTCGTTGGGGCCTCCTAGGGGCCTCGTGGGGGCCTCTCCGGGGGTCCGCTCGTGGTTTCGTGCCGACAGGCAGGGCCCGACGATGGCCCACACCCCGCCCAGAAGCGCGCGGATGCGACATCGGGGGCATGATCCTCGCCGCGCTCTCGATGCACCTCTGGTCCAGGTCGATGTCTTCCCCCCCCGAAGCCAGTCTCTCTCCCCCTGACCCTCCCCCGCATCCATGGCACCCGCTCTCCCCAGCCCGTGCTCGAGGGGAGCCGGGCGCGGAGCTTGGCAACAGCCGCCCGGCCCGTTCCCCACGGGCAGTCCACCAGTTCAGAGCCCCGAATCATCAGGGGTAACTCGGGTCAGGGATAACTCGGGTTCGTTTTTCGGGAATCCAAACCCGAGTTACCCCGGACCCGAGTTACCCCGGATAACTCGGGCGCCCAGAGCCCCGAATCATCAGGGGTAACTCGGGTCAGGGCTAACTCGGGTTCGTTTTTCGGGAACCCAAGCCCGAGTTACCCCGGACCCGAGTTACCCCGGATAACTCGGGCGCCCAACCAGTGGCCTCGGCATCGTGGCACCGCAAGGGGCCAGGGCTCGACCAAAGCGGCGTTTGGGCGATTTCGCGGGCCGCCTTCGTTTGCTTTCGTTTTGCAGTGAAGGCGGCAGGACGTCGACACTCGGGAGGGGAAAGCACACACAACAGGCACAGATAGTTGAGCGTGGATTCTCGGGAGCATCTGGGAAACTACGGGAAGTGGGGGGGAAGACGAACACCCAGAAGTTGATTGAAACCGCTGGGGAATCCTGAGATTTGTATCTGTTTGTGTGTGTGTGTGTGTGTCCCTGGGCCCCTCCAAACACGAGGGAACACGAAGACAAATCGAACACGGCAAACACTGTGTAGGACGGGCCCGTTCGGAACGCTGCAAAAGGATCGAAGGGACTTTTTGCGATGCACGCGCCCCTGGCCCTCGCAGCCCTCTTGGATCGGGCGACGAGAACCTGGCCTTAGGCCCATCCTGGCTCGAGGAGGAGGAGGAGGAGGAGGAGGAGGAGGAGGAGGAGGAGGAGGAGGAGGGCAACAACGACGACGACGACGACGACGACGAGGAAGCCCCGCCCGTTCCCCACGGAGAGCCACAGGGTCGGCCACGCGCAGAGGGGGGGGTCAGGGGGAGGGGGGAAGGCTTCTTGAAAGGGGGTTGCTTCTTAGAACGCGCGGGCCTTCTCTGTAGATGCAGGGCCAGTGCCTTCTGAGAAGCAGCCTGCTTCTGAGAAGCCTTCCCCCTTCCCCCGACAGTGCCGTTTTTAATACATTGGATTTTGTTTGTTATATAAGAAATTGTCATACCTGGTCGGCTTATGAACAAATTTGTGCATGCACCGTCGTTGTTTCTAATACTAAGTCCCTGCACTTGTAATACATGCGCCTTCCTCCTCCTCCTCCTCCTCCTCCTCCTCCTCGTGCTCCTCCTCCTGCTCCTCCTCCTTGTTATTATTACTATTATTATCGGTTTTCTGATTACTACCCGAATTCTTATTATTCCTACTCTTATTACTATTCTTATTCTTAGTATTATTAGTACATGATCCGCACGCGGAGCATGTATAAAAAACGGCATTGTGCCCTCCGGTGCCAAACGCCAACGTTCCCCACGGGGAGCCTCCGGGGCCCTCGGCACTCGCTTCTCTTCCGCTCCCGCCCCGCGCCGCGGGGCCTGCCCGGGCCGTGGTCCTTCCCGCCCAGGCTCAAGTCGGGCCTGTCCCCCTTCGGGGGGATTTTCGACGGGAAAAAAAAATACCCCCAAGAGAATCAGAAATAATCCGAAAATAATCTGGGGACTATCTTTGAACATTGTTGGGCCTTTGGGGGGCATTTTGGGGGTGCTTCTTATTTTTTATCGAAAGACCCCCTGTAGGGGGACACGCCCGACATAAGCCCAGGCGTCGCCCGACCCCCTTCGCTCGCTTCCCACCTCAGCTCAATTCTTTCTGCTTGTTGCACACCGAGGCCAGTCGGAAGGGCGGGCCGGGCGTTTCGCTGGAGACCTCCTCACCACCTGTGATCTTGAAGCGGGGAGGGTGGGCCGCTTCAGAAATGCGGCTCTCGCCTCAGCGTCGCGATTCCGAGGACGGAGCGGCAGGATTTGCGGCAGGGCCGCGCCGCGCCGATGCGGCAGCGGCCCATGGTGCGGGCGCTTCAGGGGCTGAGCGCCGCCGGTAGCCGGGAGGCGGCGCTGTCGAACGATCGGCGCCGGCGGGAGGCCGTGATCGTACGAGGTTGGAAGATGCACGCGGTGGCACCCAACCATGCTCGTACTGTGTGTGTGTGTGTGCGTCGCCCCCTGAGGGCGACGCGCGCGCCGAGGAATCTTGTAGTACAGGTTCCGTGGCGTGCGTTTTCTGGCCGCGCCGCTCGGGAAGCCATCTACTACAGGACGGTCGTATGCGGCAGCCGCCCCGGCGCGGGCGTCGGAAAGGCTGGGCGCCGCCTGCAGCCAGGAGCCGGCGCTGTGGAACGAGCGGCGTTATCGGAAAGCCGCGGTCGTACGAGGTTGATCAGAAGGGATCGAAATCACACGGATGCTGATACACCTCGTTTCCCAGAAACTTGAGGAAAAAATGGGAAGTGGAAGGGAAGACGAACATCCAGAAAATATGGAATACATGCGGAATTTTGGGATCTGTAAACATTTATTTGCGTGCGTGTGTGTCTCTGGGTCCTTTCAGCTGAACAGTGCACGCAGTGTCCTACGAGGTTGAACGATTCGAAGCAAAAACCAATATAAACATTAGCGTTTGACGGTCCGTGCGGATTTCTTGGATCTGGGCTCAGAATCCCTGGCGGCGCCTCCAGAGCCGCCCCTGACGCGCTCCGCGCGACAGGGAGGGGTGTCCAGCCCAGATCCAAGACACCTGCGCGGACCGTCAAAAGTTTATGTTGATGCAGTTGTTTCATCCTCTAACGATGCACGCGGTGTCAGAACCCAGGGCGCAGGTCGTCATGGCACGAAGTTGCCGCGCGTGCCTGTATAACCGTATACACATAGGGTGTGTGTGTGTGTGTGTGTGTGTGTGTGTGTGTGTGTGTGTGTGTGTGTGTGTGTGTGTGTGTGTGTGTGTGTGTGTGTGTGTGTGTGCGTGCATCTTCGTGTCAATGCGTATGCATACAGGACGCTTTACAAACACGGATATGCAATCAGGATGAATCTGAAGTTCGGTGTTGCCATGAACGTCGCGCCAGGGCAAAGGCGGAGAGCTATGTGAACAAACAAGGATTGGCGCCACGATGCAGCATGGAAGAGAGCAAGACTTGCTCCTGAGAACCGTGTAGTGTTCGAGTTTAGGCGAAGACGTAAGTGAATCGTCAGGCAATATGTAGTTTGGGGTCCCAGAGAAGGTCGAATTAACCGATTCAGCTTTCGGTGAAGATGTGAGTGAAGATTGAAGTAACAAGTCAGGCGGATAGTCATAAAAAAATGAACACGGTGAAAGGCTGAGAACGTTTAATTAAGCAGTATAATGGAAATTTGAAAACATCTGGATGTGGAAATTGAAATGGAGACCCAGTGAAACCCTTGGATTAAAGTTGAGGTGACGATTTCGGTGAACAGTCACGTTCGTGATTCCAGTGCATATTAAACCAGTGAAGGTTTCAGCGAATATCTGGGGTGAAAGTTGAGGTGGGGATTCCAGTGAGGATTTGACCGGTAAAGGTTTCAGAGCAGGGTTAGCTGAATATTGTAGTCAATGTCCCAGCGGTGAGAGTTGGAGTGTCGATGTTGGTGAAGATTGAATGGTGAAAATGTTATACGATTGAGGACTTAGGCGGGAATTTCAGTGCAGATTAAACTAGTGAACAGTTTGAGCAAATTTTGGGGTGAAGCTTGCAGTGAAGCTTCGAACGAATATTTCAACGGTGGCTCCCCACCGACTTACGTGACGATTGACGATGAAGTTTTGTACTGTGAAAGTTTGAGTCAAGATCTACACGTCAAACCTTTATATACATAAATGTACCGTCAAGACATTGAAACCCTGCTGTAGTAAAATTATTATCCTTGGTGCGAGGACCAGCCTCTCCGTCGAAATGTCTCAACGACTGTCAGGTGGAGATTTAGGTCAAAATTTGAACCACTAAGCGGTGAGTGTGCGCGTGGAGGTGTCGGTAAACGTTTCGGTGGAGGGTTGGTGAAAATCCATGTGAAGCGTTAAGCGGTGAGAGTGCTGGTGGAGAATGCGGGTGATGATTCATTTGAAGATTTCGGCAACTACTCACCAAACGGTGCTTTCGCTTAGGGGTTTTATTTTTTTGTTCGATGGAACTGTGCTGGTGTGCGGGTCTGGCGGCTATGTAGCCGCCGTCGCAGCCCCGTCGCCGCCTCGTCGCCGCCTCGTTGCCGCTCTGGCGGCTACACGTAGCCGCCGTTGCCGCCCCCGTCGCCCGCAGCCGCCAGATGGCTCGAGAGCCGCGCGGGGGCCGAGGGAGAGACCCTCCCCGCCTGGCGGGGCCGGCCCGGCCGTCCCGCGCCCGACTGCTTCCTGCTCGGAGCCCGCTGGAGGACGCTTTGGGGGGGGCGATGCACGGGGGGAGAAGCGAGGGCTGCCGAACAGGGGCCCTTCTAGGGCTCCTCATGGAGCTCCTTCGGGCCCAGAAGGGGGGCCCTCGGGCCCCGGAAAGGGTGCCTTCTCTCCTCCCCCCCCTCATCTCGCCCCCCAGTGAGAATTCGCGCCCAGACACGCCCAATGGAGCCGCTCCGGCAGGGATGCTGGGAGGCGATCCGCGTCCACCGTCAGGAGTATGAGGAGCAAGAGGTCATGATAACGGTACGTTCCAGGATTTCCAAGGCTTCCAGGATTTCGCATATTTCCCGATGTTCCGCACCGGTTGCAAAAACAAGGGCCGCTAGACACTTCCTGGAAATCTTGGAACGTTTTTTGAGCCAATCTTCTCATGACATCGTTCTCGCCCGAATGAAGAAAACGGATGCTGAGGGAAACGGGTCCTGAGGTTTGTCGCCGTTTTTCGGGCTCCTGGGGCCATCCACTCTAGGCCTCCTAGCTCCTAGATGGAGTCGGAGTAGATTGGGTCGGAGGATCGCGCCGCGTCGCCGGTGCATCGCCGATGTCGGCGTTGTATCGCCGGTGCATCGCCGATACATCGCCGATGCATCGGCGATGCGGCGCGACCCTCCGACCCCATCTACTCCGACCCCATCTAGGAAGCCTCTACAAGATTAAGAAACGGCATAAGCATGAGTTGGGCAGCTCCGCACGGTTTCCCTGGAGCTGCGCCGGATCACCCTGGCGCCGCCTTTGGCGCCGCCTTCCTGGCGCGCTCCAGAAGGTGGTCCCAGCGCAGATCCAGGAACTCCTCGAGCAGCGTCGACCTTTGATCTTTACTTATTTGTTTCTGTCCAAGCCCTCCGACACCATCTAGGAGGCCTCTATCCACGCGGGCCACGGGGTCGTCAAGACACACCCTCGGGGTGCAGAGCGGATGATCCTGGGGAGAGGCCGCGGGGTCCGGGGCTCCGTGCCGCCATGGGAAGAAGAGAAGAGCCAGGAGGGCTCGTGCTCAGAGTGCCATCTCCTCCTCCTCCTCCTCCCCCTCCCCCTCCTCCTCCTCCTCCCCCTCCTCCTCCTCCTCCTCCTCCTCGTCATCATCATCAATGGGAAGAAACAGAGCCAGGAGGGCTCGGGTTCCCAGTGCCCCCAGTGGCCCGCTGCCCAGTCGCACCCCCCGTGAGGAGCGAAAGACTGAGCAAACCTTCGCTTCCGGAAGTCTGCGCGGGATTCTTTCCAGAAGTGAGTCGGCGAGGGCGCCCCCGGCGCCGCCCCGGGCGCGCTTCGCGCGCCAGGGAAGGGGGGGTCCCGCGCCGCCGCGAGAGATCCGCGCCCGATGCCAGTGCGGAGGAGGCGCCGGGACACCCGACGGAGTCGAGGCGCCAGGCGGCCCATGCCGGAGCCCTCTGCAGGCCGCTGCTGCTCTTGGGGACCCCGGGAGCCGAGAAGTGGCTCGGGAGAACGAGCCAGCCCTGTGGGAGGGGTCGGCAAGGCCAGGTGGGCAGCAGCGAGGGGGCAGAAGAACCTGGAGCGTGCTTCTTTATTGCTTGGGGCATCAAGGCATTCTAGCACCCGGCGCCCCCTCCCCCCCCCGAAATCGTGACGCCCCTCCCCCCCAGTGCGCTCCGGGCACTGCCGCCGTGTGCACTGCGGGGGGGGCGCGTTACATCACAGTGCCGTTTTTAGTACATGCTCCGCGTGCCCATCATGTATAACAAATGCAGGGATTCAGTATTAAAAACAACGATGCGTGCATGCATGACTTTATTCATACATCGATCATGTATGAAACATCCTATCCTTGTTTAAAACATCCTATGTATTAAAAACGGCACTGTATACCCCCCTGGCCCCTCTCCCCCTTATAATGCCCACGATCGCCGAAGATAAAAGCACGCGCTCCTGGGGCGGCCGAGGACTGCAGGCACGCAGCCCCGTGGAGGGTTCCCCTACACGGCCCCCCATAGGCTGCCACCGCGGGCACCAGGGAGGTGCGCGGGCGGCGGGCGCTGCTTTTCAGCTCACGTCTACGGCCCCCCCCGCCTCACGAACGAACACCATGCGCCCGATGCGTCCGAGGGGCCCCTCCCTCGGGCAGGGCGAGCCGTCAGCTCCCCCGGGGAGGGCGCTCGAGGCTCGATCTTCTTTGTGTCAAGCAGTGGCGAAGCGTCCCGGCGTGCCTATAGCCATACCAAATGATGTTCTAGGAACCTGTGGTGGTTCCCACGAAATGTCCTTAGAACGCTTCTTGCTGGGACTGTCCTGTTTGAACGCATGGGGCTTCTGTTCTAAGAACATTGCTTTTGTTCTTAGAACATTTATGGGTTCTAAGAACATTTCGTGGTAGGACTATAGAAATGCCGGGACGGTCGGTCCCTGCTCAATTGTGGCCGCTGCCTCCTGGAGGCTTCTCTCGCCTCCGCGGGCGGGTTCCTCCCCAGGTCTTGGGCAGCACGCGCCCCAGGGGCTGCTGGGGGGGCCATTGCCAGCCTGGAGCATATCCCTGCCCCTATGTTGGGCATCGTCTCATCACGATGCCGATCTTAGGGATTCCCCCAGTTTCTGAGGGTGCATCCCTAAGATCGTCATCGCCTTTTGGCGTGCCGATCTTAGGGATAGGGATGAGTTCGAGGCTGGCGAGATCACGGCAAGCTCGCGCCGTGTCGACGCGGCGGCGGTCCCGGCGCCATGCGTTCAAGCTTGGAAGGCCGCCAGGGGGCTCGGCCTCGGCCGAGGTCGAGGGCTCCGTGCTAGCGTTCCGTCGGGCGTGTCCCCTCTACAGGGGGGATGTTCAAAAATAGTCAAAAATAATAGTTGGCCAAAAATCATCAAACAATGAGAAAAAAAAGAGCGAACAATAATCAAAAAGGGAGAAAGTTGCTGAGTATTTTTGTATATGTTCGAGCATGTGTGGGGTATTTTTTATTTTTCGTCCAAAATCCCCCTGTAGGGGGACAGGCCCGACCTAACGCTGTCGCGAAATTGCGATCGTTCAGAGTTGAACGATCCGCGAGGTTTCAGAAAACAGCGCCGAAGACGTCACGACGCGACCCTGCCGTAATGCGGAAATCGATTCCAAGGTGCCGAGGGGGGGCCGTCACGCAGCCGTTTCAAGGGCGAGGACTGATGTGGTGGACTCTGGGCCTGCTCGTGGGCGCTGCCGTCGTCATTGAGATTGTTTCGGCGTCCTCCCCACAAGTTCCCAGCGGCAGTCACCTATGTCCAAAAACCGGCCACCCGGCTTTCTGCACCCAGATGACTGCTGTCCTGAGCACTTGAAGACAGACGGAGGCGCGCCGCGTCCAACCAGGCCCCGCCGTCGTCCCGCAGAATTTTTGGGGGGGGGCGCCGCTTCTGCCGGAGGCCGTCTGCTCTCTCCGGCGGCTGGGGCGCAGCTCGCAGCTCTTGCGCCAGGGTGGACTTCCGGGAGGGTGTCCCGACCGACCTCGAAGTGGCCGGTCTTCTCTCCCTCCAAACGACGCCGGGGAGGGGGAGCGGGTGGACGCCTGGGAGCGACAGTTACGGCAGAGAGTGCGCTCACGATGTTCAGCAGCAGGTGTTGTCAAGAAGCAAGCACGGTCCGCATTACCCCCGAGGAGGTCGTTGATGTTGTGGTCCCTTCTTTGATCTCGGCTGGCGAGGAAACTCGTCCCTCCCCTCCTCGCACTTCCCGGCATCATCCTCACCACCATCAGGGGTCCTCCTCTCCCCCACGATTCTCAGCGCGGCCGGGTGCCCCCCACGGAGGGGACGGGCTCCTCGGCCGACGCGCCGAGATCGGCCACTCGCGCCAGGGTGGCCCTTCGCCAGGGGTGACCTCCTTGGTGCGGGCTCCCGGCATATATCAGGGGCAACGATAGGGGGGGGCCGGATAGGCATGGGGGGGGGATGCATCGACCCTCAGTCGCCAATTGATCGCCCATGGGGGTCTGATAGCCCTACCACGCCCAGCAAAGTGCGGATTTGTAATCGGGGGCCTATCACCGGTCTATCGGCGATGTATTACCGATTCCGGGTCGATGTTCCCTCCCCCTTTGCCAGTCCCCCCCATCGTTGCCCTTCAATATAGGCCTCCCGAATGAGGCATTCGAGAGAGGGCCTCGTCTTCGAGGGCCGAAGGAGTTGATATCTCTTCCGCGGTGGAAGGCTGGCGGAAGGCGGCGGAAGTAAAACGAGGCTGCTTGCGCCTCCGCCAGCGGAAGCCGGCGGAAAACAATATATGTTTCCTAAGAGATGGCGAAGCTCTTGATTTCGCCATATTGGCCTCAGAGCAGTCGGGGTCGGAGGATCGCGTCGCATCGCAGGTGCATCAGCGATGCGGTTCGATGTGGAGCCCGATGGTTTCCACGCCGAAATGGCCAATGCATCGGTGATGCATCCACGATGCGGCGATGCGGCGCGATCCTCCGACCCCATCTGCAGTCGAAACCAATCGTAGGGATGGGCAACCTTCCCAAGGGTGCCCTTGCATCCTTGCCTCCTCGGCCCATCCTTAACCACTCTCGTTGGCCAGCCTCGCTCGAAACGCTTCGACATGGGCGTCCAAGGGGGTTGCATCCTTATCGCGCATCCTTACCATAAGTATTGGCTGTATTCCGACCCATCTGGGAGTCCTCTGCTGTTTGGTGCGGGCCCCCACAGGAGTCACCTTTCAGCACTGTTGGCGGCGCGCTTGGGGTCGACCCCCGCTCCTCCGCGGCCCCCCCACGCCGCGCACCAGAGCTCGCTCTTGTCGAGGGTCGCCCTTGCGTGCAGGCTGGATGTTCCACCGTCGAGAGTCAATTTGTCATAGATCGGCCTCTTCTGCGGGGCCCAGCCTTTCTGTGCGGGGTGGGCCGCGTGGCTAATTCTTGATGCTTCGCGCAACCTCGCCAGAGGCCTGACTCGCCGCTGGCGCTCTCGCCTGCGGTTGCGACAAAAAAGTAACCTCGCCAGCCCATCCAGAAACAATGCCCAGGCGAGTTGCCCTTTTCAAGGAAGTGTAGGAGCATCTAGTGGAAGCAAGAGTGGTGGGGGAGGGGGCAGCCGTCAAATGGAAGCTCGGGACCAGCCTGCGCATACCCAGGAGTCAACCATACATTCTCCCTGGGATCTTTCGACATGGGAGCCTCTTGGCAGCCTACTTGGGCCCTGTTCGAGCCATGTCGGATGCATCAGGGGCTATCTTGGGGCCCTCTGGGGTCCCTCTGAGGGCCTTGGAGCTTTTCCGGGGGCCATTATCGATCAAGGAAAGGGATGTAACCAATTACACCACCCAGTCAGATCCTTCTTGTAGCGCTCTTGGGGCAGTCTTGGGGCCCTCTTGGGCCCCTCTTGGGGCGATCTTGGGGCTATCTTGAGCGATCTTGTAGCCTTCTTGCCCGCCGGCGTGAAGCCACACATAAGTGAGTTCCCTTCGGTGTTGAACGGCATGTTGGCCTCTCGAGGGCGTCCTGGGGGGTCTTCGTGGCCACTTGAAGTCGCCTTGGGGCCGCCTTGGGGCCTCTTGGGGGCATGTTGGAAGCTATCTTGGTTATCTTGTGCGATCTTGGAGGCCGCCTTGGGCTATCTGGGGCCATACTATAGCCGTCGTGGGTCATCTTGGACGCTCCAGCAGCTCGCGCCCCCCCGTCCAGACCCAGCTGAGGGGATAGGGGGAGGGATCGAGACACCTCCCGGACGCACCTCGCTTGGCTCGTTCCCACCCGCCCTCCCGCACCCGAGTCTCAGCTTATTCAGCGGTTGTCCTTGGGGGGGGCGGCGCGACCTGCACCCCGCGCGCCCCCTCCGGGGACCCCGTGCAGTCGGACCTGGGCCAGAAGGACACCCTCCAAGAGCACGAGGCCCTCCGCCGGCCAGAACACACAGAACATCCAGGGGTATTACCCTCCCCAGGATGCACAAGAACATCAAACAAGCGCGAAGAGCACTGGTGTGCCCTCCCCGAACCAATTCAGACCAAGGTGGGCGACGCGGGGGCGAGGCGCGCGCACCAGGCGCACCCTGCGCCCCTGGGGCCCAAGCGTGCCGGGCACCCCTGGTGCGCCAGAGACGCCACGTGCTTCGCGTGCGCCAAGTGTCAGGAGGGAAAAAAAAACACACAGGCACAATCAATCGTCGATTCCCCCGAAAATATGCGAAAATATGGGAAGTGTGGGGGGGAAGACGAAAACCCAGAACATATCAGAAAATATAGGAGAAAATTGTTTTATGTGTGTGTGTATTTATTTGTGTGTCTCAGGGCCACTTCGAAGTGTGCCAGGTGCGCCCGCGCACATCGGGAAACATGTCGGCCTCCACCATCCACACTCGCGGCGGGGTGGCCATCATGACTTCTGGTGGGCCTGCACAGCTGGCAACGTGCCAGTATCCCCCCGCCCCTGTCAAACACCACCGCAACGCGGTCACGGGGCGCCCGCGCATGATCCGGATTGAGCCGCGAAGTGCACTTGTGACAGGGATTGTGGCCGTGCGCGCAGCAGGCCAGATGATTGTACCCATGCGGCCGGTTTCAAAAGACAGTACATTGTGTTTGCGGGGCCCCCGAGCATGACCCAAGATTTTGTCGCAAAGAGCATGTTGTATTGTTTTTGACAGGGATGGTGGGGGGTGTTGTCACGGCACAAAGCAGGTAATATATATATATATATATATATGTATATATATATATATATATATATATATATATATATATATGCCAACGCCCCCACCGTCCTTGTCAAAACCATGCACAGTGATCACCGGGCGCTATTTTGTATTGTTTTTGTTTGGCATGGTGGGGTGGGCTCATTGGTGCGGGTTGGCTGGCGGTCGGTTGGGGAAGGGGGCGTTGATTCATGAGGAGCAATGATCAAGACACTTGTCCCAAGCGCAAACTGTTTGGCTCACTCCCAGCCGCCCTCGCAACACACGAGCAGCACGCGATTCTCATCATACTCAGAGGCTGTCTCTGGAGGGGCAGCTGCCGGGAACCAGCTCGGGCCCCATGTGCGCGGCGTCAGGCGCGCCACGCGCTCCCGGCGCGCCAGGCGCCTCTGGGGCCCAAGCGTGCCAGGCACCCCTGGCGCGCCAGATGCGCCACGTGCTCCACGTGCGCGAAGTGTGCCGCGTGCTCCAGCCGCGCCAGGTGCGCCACGTTCAGGGTTTGGCAGGTGCGCCCGCGCATGTCGGCCCCCACCGTCCTTATCGAATACCTGCGCATCATCGCGTCGGCGTCGCCATCGTGCTGTCTGGCGGGCCTGCACACGGCAGGCAATATGCCAGCACCCCCGCCGCCCCTGCCAAAAACCGAAGCAACGTGATCGCGGGGCGCCCCCGCGCATGATCCAGATTTAGCCGCGAGATGCAGTGCGTATGGTCTTTTGGCAGGGGTTCTTCTCTTCGGCCACCGAGAGAGTAGCCTGTGGCGCAAATCATTATATATATATATATATGTTTTTCTACTGCCGAGTGTGCAACCTAATGCGACACCAATAGCAGTCCGTCGTGTGTTGGGCAACCGATGGCGCAAATGATGGCGCAACTAAATGCCCGGCAGCTTCTATCTACAGCCGACGGTGCAACCTATTGCACAACCAGCAGCAGGCCGCGCTGGCGAAACCTATGTTGCAACCCGTGGGTCGCGCAACCCATTAGTGGCGCAGCCGATGGCGCAATTCATGGCGTAACCCATAGGTTGCGCCTGTCTGGTTGCTGTTACGAGGATGCACCAAACTTCTGCTCGCTCTTTGGGCAGGCGTTGGGGCCCAAGCGGCGAGCTGTGCTGTGTTATTGTTGCCTCTAGAATCTAGAAGGCTTGTCGTATCAGTGGCTGGCTGTCTCTCAAAGTCCTGGTCAGCCCGCGCCCCTGAGCAAGTCGTCGTCGTCGTCGTCGTCGTTTGGGAAGCTTGTGGCTTTGTTGCCGATTCTGAGGAGGGAGCCAGGAGCCAAGTCGACCCCTGGACCCGCACTGGAGGAGTTCGGTCCAGAATGTCTACGCGGATCTGGCCGTGGCAACAAGAGTGGCCATGAAGGCAAACAATAGAACACGTAACCGCAACAATGAGGGACATCTTGGAGGAGGCTTCGCGCGGCTTGCGATAGTTGTGCGATCTAGTCCGCACATCCGCCTCGTTCGCGCGACGATGTTCCGACTCAAGTCCAATGCAAATGCGACGCGCATCCACCGTACATGCGACGTGCATGCAGACGTATACATCCAACAACGCGCATCCAACGTACAAGACGTCCAACGTACATCCAGCGTACATCCAGCGTGCATGCGACGCCCAATACATCCGACGTGCATCCAACGTACATCCAGTGTAGACTGGGTCTGAAGTGGCCGCGCGAGGCCTCCAGGATGTTCTGGCCTTCGGCCCAACTGCCTCGAGCCTCGAGCTCAAAGCCTTGAGGCCTCGAGGCCTCGGCCCTCGCGGCGCCGGCCCCAGGCGGACGGCGCGGGCGACGCGGGCGCGAGCTGCGACGAGAGCCTGGAGCTGCTGACGTCGGAGGCGGCACCGCCAACGGCTCGAGGGAGCTGCGACCCATCTCGGGGCCTGCGTGCCTCCTCCTCCTGTAGATCCTTCCCCTCCTCCTTCCTCCTCCTTCCCCCGCCCTCCTCCCCCCCTCATCCTCCACCCTCCCCCCCCCCCATTCACCTTCTTCCCTCCCTCGCCTTCAGCCTTCTCCTCCTTCTCCTCCCCCTTCCCCTCCTGTCTCCTCCTCCTCTTCCTCATCCTTTTACGTTCGACCAACCTTAGGTTAACCTCTGGCGTTTACTTCCTCCTCTCCTCCTCCTTCTCCTCCTCCTCCTCCTCCTCCTCCTCCTCCTCCTCCCCGCCGTCTCCGTCCCTCCCTCTGTCCCTCCTCCGACTCCTCCCCCGAGGCCGAATCGTCAAAGCAGTAGGGCATCATCGGAAGATTTTGAGATGGGCGAGAGCCAGTAGACAGTATGCAGTGACAGCCACTTTAGAAAAGGTTGCAGGGCAGACGGCGGCACATTCTGGTCATCAGATCCACGGGATGTTCGGCACAGAACTTCTCAACTTGCGACGCCGTTTGGGGACAGTTTGCGGATCCAATCGTGGGGGACGTTGCTTGACCACGACGTTAGACCTGAGAGCACCGCAGCAGGACCCCGCAGTTCGTTTGAGGAAGGAATGCTTGAGTGAGTGGTTAAGGCTTTGGACGTCCAACAGCTATATCAGGTCGTCCGTCTCCAAAGTTTGGCCAACCATAGTTAGCAAGATGCATGCGCTCACCAGCACTGAGAGGGCTCGCCACGTCCGTGGGCCAGTCAGTGCAGTGATCGCTATGCTATTACAGTACAAGTGCGAACCGATCTCGCCATCACACTGGTAACTCCAACGCGGTGGGTCCACGAGTGAGCAGATCGGGTGGCACTTTAACGAAGCAGAGCTGACGGGTTCGGAAGATTTCAGCGGTATCTTGGCAGACCTGGCGACACCTGTGATGGAATGTCTATGGCAGCAAGCGGCGTCTCATTACTGCTGTGAGGGCATGTCGAATGGCATCGACAACGAGTCCTTTCGTGCATTATTGAGCCGTCTGGGGCAAGCCCCCAGAGGGGCACAATGGGCCGAGACGATGTTGGTGGCGGCGACGGGAGGTACATGGCCGAGGACGAGGTTCGAGGTTCACGATCCAGAGTGCAAGCTGTGCCCCAGGTGCTTGCTGAAAGGCGAGCACTACCCAGAGACACCGCCCCGCAGAAGTTGGCTTTGTCCCCAGAACACTGGGCACCAAGCTTATCGTGACTCAGACCAGTACGTACCCCAAGCAGTTAGTCAGCACGAGCATGACGAGTGTTTCTGGTTCCGAGGACTGCTACCCAGTTCGTGGACGGAGGCCCCTTCCGCCGTCCAAAGAAAGCTGAGAAAAAAGGTGTTTCGAGCCAGAGCAGCCCGACGGCGATCACATTATTGCTGTGGGCACCGATGGTCATCCAGTATATGTATGTGGAGATGCCAATGGAGGCGCAGATACTCACTGACCCAAGTTGAGGAGAGTCGGCCTTGGTTTCGCGATCGTGGAGCAGTGTCACCCAGTTCGGCTGGGCCTCGAGGCTCATCGACCGTTACACGGGAGACTCCAAACTGTGTGCCGCGGCGAATTGGCCGCTGAAGAATATGTTTTTTTTCGATGCATTCGAGGAGCAGTCATCTATCTCACCGACAACGAGGGGGTAGAGAAAGGCTGGATCTCCAGAGTGTGCCTCCTTTTCCTCGTGAGGCCAACTCAGACGTTGACTTGTGGCAAGCCATTGGTCAGCACACGCACGAGGCCGAGGGTCGTGAGGGCAGCGTCTCGGCTTTTTTTTTTAATATGAATTTGCATTTGTCGGGATTCGAAGCTGCAGAACAAAACAAGGATATGCGCCGTGGATGTGGCACAGCAATCATCGAGCTGATCAGATGGCGGGCCGAGCAGCACAGGAGCACATATTGCCAGCAGCTGTTCGGACCCGAGTTGCACAGCAGGAAAAAAGAGCGGAGTTGGTGCGGCGCCGGCTCCTCAGAGCCACGATGGACGCCATGGTTGCTGACCCCAGACCGAAGAGAAAGTCTAACAAAATTCGCTTGATTCCGTCTGCCCCGACAACTGTTGCTCGTTTCTGTACCACGCATATTCTTGATGACAGTGGCCGCCTTTGTACTGGATGTCACGGGTCCGCGACCAACGAATGTTTCGCTGATTGGTTGAAGACGCCATGTTTTGCCCTGCGGTCTGTAGACGGTGTAGTATCACGAATACCCCCAGGGTGTAAAGTCCATCGGGCGGGGGAGTGGCTGCATCCCTCACATAACCTAAGGTTTCACGTATATTTGAAGCTCTGGTTTTGCGAAACGTGCGGGTTTTATTCCTCTGATCAAATCCGAGGGCTTGCATCCGAGTGTACTCATAGAGCCAACAAGCCCCGACAATAATATTTAAACAGGATTGAGGATGGGCTCTCGCCAAAGCTTCTGTCGTTGTCGGAGCAACGAGCCAGAGGCCGCATCCCTCCTTAATGAATATTTTTTCGCTTCGCGAATTGACCATTCCCATTCCCATTCCCGTGCCTCCTCCTCCTCCGTCGCCTCCTCCTCCTCCGTCTTCTCCTCCTCCTCCTCCTCCTTCTCCTCCTCCGCCTCCGCCTCCGCCACACCTGCTGCGAGCTCGTGCCGTGTCGATCCTCCTCCTCCTCCTCCCCCATTCCTCCTCCTCCTCCTCCTCCTCCTCCTCCTCCTCCTCCTCCTCATCCTCCTCCTCCCTCCTCCCTCCCCCCTCTTCCCTCCCTCCCCGCCCGCGAGGCGGTGCCCGGCCGGCGCCGCCGCGCCCGCGCCGCGCGGGCCGCTCTCGCGGCGCTGGCGGCCTCCGCCGCCGCCGCCCTCGGCGCCGGCGGCCTGGGCGCGCGCGGGCGGCCAGCCCAGCGCGGGGCGGAGCCCGCCGTTGGGTCAACTACAGTTACGTCGGGCCTATCCCTGCACATGGGGGAACATCCAAAAACAGTCCTAATATCGTGTGGGGGCGTGTTTTTCATGCTTGGATATTTTCGGGTTGGGTCAACTACAGTTACGTCGGGCCTATCCCTGCACAGGGGGAACATCCAAAAATAGTCATAATATCGTGTGGGGGCGTGTTTTTCATGTTTGGGATATTGCGAAGGCCTTACGGCCGGTGCCGCCGACCCTGGAGGGCGACCCATGCGTTCTCGTACGTGGCGGGGGGGGCCTCTTGGGGCTTCCTGGGGGCCTCTTGGGGGTCTCGTGGTGGCCTCTTGGGGGCATCTTGGGGCTTCCTGGGAGCCTCTGTCGCCGAGGGCTCGTCGGGCCCCCCGTCTGGGCACCCTGTTGGAGCCGTTTGGGGAGCCTCTGGGGCCATCTTGGAGGCATCTTGGGCGCGGGGGGGGCGTCGTATCTGAGTGGCGCCCCCCCCCCGGGACCCCCCCGCTACCCCCCCCCCCCCTCCCGGCGGGGGAGGGATCAAAGGGAAGGGGCTTCCCTTCGACTCAAATACGACGTTGCTGAAGTTCATTTGGGCTGGCGCGCTTGAGCAGGGGCCCCTGCTGGGAAAGAGGACGGGAGTGGCGACGGGCCCACGGAAAGGGAGGCGCAAGGAAGGGGGACGACAGAGACGACGACCAACGAACAACGGGAATGACGTCTCGAACGGAAAAGCCCCTCACACACGCCGACAGGGTCGGCGGATTTTCGGGTACAGGGGGAACATCCAAAAATAGTCATCAAATCGTATGAGGACGTTGTTTGTATCTTTATATATAAATATATATATATATATTCGGGTACAGGGGGGAACATCCAAAAGTAGCCATGACATCGTACGATGACGTTGTTTTTGCATTGTTTTGATATTTGCGGGCACAGGGGGAACATCCAAAACTAGTCACGACATAGTATGAGGACGTTTTTTTTGTTTTTGCATTTTTGGTAGATGTTCGGGGTGCTTTCTGAATGTTTCCTCCAAAAGTCGCCTGTAGGGGGACAGGCCCGACCTAAAACTACATGGGGCGTTCCAAAAACGGCCTTGCCTTCGAGGATCGAGGGAGTTGTCATCTCTTCCGCTGCGGAAGGCGGCGGACGGGCGGCGGAAGGTCGGCGGAAGTAAAACGGGGCCGCCTCCGCCGGTGGAAGCCGGCGGAAGCTCGGCGGCGACGGAAGTAAAGATCACGCGTCCAAGAGTTGAAAACGTTTTTGGGTACAGGGTTACCGAAATCCGCCACATGCAAGAGTGACCTCTCACCGGAATGACCCTTGGTGCGGGCCCATGGGGCCCCCCCGATGGCCGAGTGCGATGCGACAGCAGCGGCCTGCGCCCTTGGGTTTGGCCCTCTCGCGCCCCCCAGTTGCCGCGCACCAGGGGGCACTCTTGCCTAGGGCCGCTCTTATGTGCAGCCAATCCGGCGGCGCGCAGCAGCTGCTCCTACTCTCAGCCTCGGTTCACCACCAGCCTGGCACACGAAGCATGTTTTCTGCAAGGTCTGGGCGATGTCGGCCGTGACCGGCCCTCTCCGTCCTTCCCCCCCCCCTCGTCACGTCACGCTATCTTGCCCACAGTTGCACAGATCTCCAGCGCCCCCCCCCCCCCGCCGTGATGTGATCGGGGGAGACGAACTCCCCCCCCCTCCCCTGATCACGCCCGCTACCGCGGACATTAGGAGGCTGGCTCCAGTCTCAGCTTCGTTGAACCGATCCCTACGGTTTACCATCCTGGAACATAGCCCTATCCCTATGATCGGCATCGCCTCATCACGATGTCAACCTTGAGGATCCCCTCCGCTTCTGATGGCGCATTCCAGAGATTACGATTGCTCTGCAGCTTGTGAGTCTTAGGGGTAGGGATATGTTCGAGGCTGGTTACCAGCAGGCTCGTGCGGAGTGGGCGCGCCGGCAGCCCCAGCGAAGGCTTGCAGGGTTGAGTTCTGCGGCGCGGAAGCACCGAAGAGCATGGCACAGTCGGGCCGAGGTCTAAGATCGAGGTCGGCTCGGGGAGGGTACCGTCATGTTGTTCGTGCCTGTTGGCTGTTCTGGTGCATCCTGGGGGAGGGTACCTTTGGATGTTCTGTGTGCTTTGGCCGGCGGAGGGTCACTTGTTCTTGAGAGATGTTATTCTGTCTTAGGTCCGACTGCAAAGACGCGGTGCCCGGCGGAATTAAACCTTGAACGATCGGGGCTGCGATCGGTTCAAGGTTGAGCGATCAACGCGGTGTCAAAAGCCTTTGCTCGCGCCGACGCCACACGAACCTACCGTACCCCCATCCCCATCCCGAGCCCCACCATCGGTGCTGCGATCGGTTCAAGGTTGAGCGATCGACGCGATGTCAAAAGCCTTTGCTCGCGCCGACGCCACACGAACCTAACGTACCCCCATCCCCATCCCGAGCCCCACCATCGATGCTGCGATCGGTTCAAGGTTGAGCGATCGACGCGATGTCCAAAACCTTTGCTCGCGCCGACGCCGCACGAACCTGCCGTATCCCCATCCCCATCCCGAGCTCCGCCGTTCTAGCGCCCTAGTTGGACATGTACCCCTCGAAGCCCGAAGGGAACAGCCTGTATCCCCACCCAGGGGGGTAATTAGGCCGGCCAGTGGGACCCAGGCCACGCCGTTGGGGACAGAGATCGGAGACACGATGCTCAAAATCCGCGACTGCGCAGACAGCTGGCGTCTCGCGAGGCTTCGCCACGTCGCCGCCCGTGGCAGCCCCGTGGCCGCCTCGTGCGCTGGGCGGGTCCGGCGAGGTGCGGCCTCCCCCGCCGCACGCGGCGCTGGCAGACTGCCAGTCGAGCAGTGGCGAAGCGTCCTCCTCCTCCTCCCCCTCCTCCTCCTCCTCCCCCTCCTCCTCCTCCTCCTCCTCCTCCTCCTCCTCCTCCTCCTCCTGCCAGTCGAGTGCCTGTAGGCCCACCAAAGAATGCCCTGAGGGCCTCGTGCGGTCTGCACGACATGTCCTCAGAACACGTTCGGCTGCCGCCGTCTTGTGTCAGCACGTCGGGTCGTGGCTCCACCACAGGGTGTCCCAAGAGCCTCTTTCGGCCACGCGCAGAGTGGGGTAAGGGAAGGGGAAAGGGCTTCTCAGAAGCACCCCTGCTTCTTAGAAGACGCGGGCCTCGTCTTTGAATGTAAGACCGGCGCCTTCTAAGAAGCAGCCTCCTTCTAAGAAGCCGTCCCTCGTCCCGCTACCCCCTTGTGCGCTACCCCCGTCCTGCTACCCCAAGAATGTCCTAAGAGTCGTTTGCGGATTTGCACGACATGTCCTAGAACAGTTCTTGCTGAGGCTGTCCTGTTTCAGCGCGTCGGGTCGTATGGTCCAAGGTCACTGCTCTTGTTTCTAAAACGTTCTTCGAATAAAAACAAACCGCATAAACATAAACTTTTGGGGCTCCGCGCGGATTTCTTGGATCCGCGCCTGGGCCCCCTGGCTGCGCCTCGGGCGCCGCCCCTGGCGCGCTCCGCGCGCCAGGGAGGGGGTTTCGGGACTTGCTTTTGGGACTCTCCTGACTTCAGAAGACGCGCGCGACGCACCCCAGGAGATCTCGGAAATGGCTGACCCCGCCCGAAAGCGCTCGGGAGACCTGGTGTCTGGGCCCTTACGAATGTGCAATGCTGGCTGCAGCAGCAGCAGCAGCACAGCTGTGAGCCTTGGGGCACTCCACGTCGTGCTGAGGGCACGATGGCGGATAGTAAGGCGGAGGTCCAACCAAGAAATCCAAGAGAATCCAGAATTCAAACATAAGTGATTGAAGCATCCGTTTTGCTACGTAAAAATGCAGTACGTATAGGAAAACCGTGTTTGGGCACGTCAATACGCGTGACATGTAAAGTTGCCCGCAATGCCGTTTTTTTCCAGGACATGTCAGGGCACGTGACGCGCATGTCACTTAGAGCAATAGAGCAATGTCGCGTTTGCAGGCCACTTTTGCGGGAAGGTATCCCCCCAGAGCGAAATGGCGAACTGGTGCCACACTAAAGGCCTGGCAATGCCCCGCTAATGGCTTTTTATGGCCCCACAAACGGCCCCGCTAATGGTCCACTAACGCATGTGTCCATGAATGGCCCACTACTGATCTTGATTTACTAATGACCCAATCATGGCCCAGTAGTGACCTGCCAATCATTTTCTATCCACTCAAAGTTCACGAGTGATGCTCAAATAGCTCGCTTCTACTCGTTCTCTCGGATTGTCGTGCTTGCAGAGATCATTCGTGCACAAGTAGGTCATTGGCCAAGGTCCAAAGGTTATGGTAGGCAGGGCCGTCGATGCAGATAAGAAAACCACTAGCGTGTAATGGACCGTGCGCGAACAAGCGGGCCAGCAGTCGAATCCAAAGGTACTCTGAGGTGGGGCCCTTCACGACTTGGCTGCGTGTTTTTTTTACCCACGGCGATAGCGGGGAGGGGACGCAGAGGGCCGCTCACGTCACGACTCGCGCCGGCGCCCTCTGGGGATGCTCTGGAACGGCCAGTTCCGAGACGGCGCCGGCGCGAAGGATGGCCAGCCACGGCCGTTATCGCCCGTGGTTTTCAGTCGTGCCTGTCCCTCTACAGGAGGAGTATCAAAACATAGTCCAAAAAGATTGTGGGGACGGCTTTTCCTGCATGTTTCTACATGGTTTTTTGCAATTATTGGACTATTTTCACTTTTCGCTCAAAATCCGCCTGTAGGGGGACATGGCCGACCTAATCATCGTTTCAAGGTGTTTTCCGTGGTTCCAGGCCGCCCATATAGGGCTGGAGTAGGTGGGGCCTGGGGACAGCGAGGCGGCTCGACGAGGAGCCCGATTTGTTCCTAGCCGACGTCGCCGATGCATCGCCGATGTAGCCGATGCATCGCGCGATCCCCCGACGACCCCACTTACTCGCAGCCCCCTTTGGGGCCTCCAGTGGAACACACATGCCTGAGGTCAGCCGGCCCGATACGCAACACGCAACACGCAGCGTATGGATACGGAGCTCAACACGTATGTATCGGGGGCGGACAGAACCCCCAACAGTGACACGTCGATTAGTGAATTGTCCGTTTTCGGTTCTCGAGAGGGCGCCGTGGCCGTCATTTTCCAGGCTTGCGCCCGCCAGGTTTGGGCCTCAGGTCGTTTTCACTAGACCACGTTTTGCTAAAGGGGGGTCTGTCCATCCCCGAATGTAAACTGAAAAACGTACGTTTTGAACACAGACGTTTTGAACACGGCACGTGTGTTACGTTTCGAATCGTGCGTGTCCGAACAGCGAAGGTCCCGAGGGAGACGGGTCCTGCGGTTTGTTCGCAGTTTTTTCGGGCTCTCGGCGCCCTCCGCGGGCTCCGGGGTCGTCAAAGGCACGGCTCCTGCTGACATCCGGCCCCAGGATGGAGGCCCCCCAGGGGGTCAGGACCCAGCTTTCTCGGGACCCGTCTGCCGAGCCCCCCCCGACGACACTTGGACCCTGGCCGACGTCTGGGCCGATCGAGCTCCCATGGGGCGTGCCGGGGCGTAGAAACAAGGCAGGGATGGGGACCTGAGATGCGGGTGCGAGGCACGATGGGAAAAGGCAAAGGATGCAAGCGGCAATTGGAGGACGCGTCGCCCGTTCGATTCTGGACCCCACAGCGGCGTCTCGGGGGAGTGTGCCGACATTTCGGCCAGATTTGGGGACCCGGAGGGGCCCAGAGCCTTCGCGTTCCCCGCCCTCGCCCCTGCGAGCAGCGCCGACGTCGAGAAGATATACCCGCGCGCAGCTCTGTTTTCCATCGCTGCGTTTTTGTTGTTGATTTCGGCGTCCGGGGATCAGTTTTTTGGGGGCCCAGGGTAATCAAACACGCCCGGTGCTGAGAAGTACCCCCCGGGGAAGGGTTCGGGGGGTACGGGGTGCAGATTGAAAAATGCATGTCAGTTGGCTTTCGGAGAAGAATGTCATACATCCGGCGAAATGGTTGTTTCAGTCTGCGCCCCCAGACTTCCCTGCGTCCTCGTTCCCAGGTCCATACGTTCGTCCCAGACATCTTTTTGATTGCTTGATTGTACAGGGGCTCGAAAGGTGAGCCAGGGATTCAAATTTTGGAGAAGCGCGGGGATCGAAGAAAGCAATCTGCAGGATGTCTGGTTACCGCCGTCCTTTCCTGGGGGGCCCTCGTTGCCACGGGTGGATTAGCTGCGGGATCATGGTCATAACGCGTTCAGTGAAGGGTCCTGGAGGTAGCGCGGGCTGGGGCTGGCCAAGAGGGGGGTGATGATTAGGAGGAAGGGTGAACATCATGGCCAGGGCCACGGTATCCCCCTTGTTGCAGGTCCCCCTCTTATTCTTTCAACACGTTCCCTGGCCTCCTCCCTCGTCCGCTTCCGGCCATGATTTGCGAACCTCCTCGGACGCCCCGCCTTGCACGCCCCCGATGAGTGAGAGAGGTCCCCGAACGAGCGGGGTCCTGAGGTGTTTTGACACTCTTGGGCTTTCGAGGCTCTGTCTGGGCCTCGGGAATTCAAGAAACGGCTCGGGACCAAGAGCCCCATGTGTCATGACAAAATAAAGCTGGAAGGGGTGAGGTTCACCAGGTGGCTTGGCAAGAGTGTCCGTCATTAGTGCAGTCCTTGCCCTAGGAGTGTCGACCTAAGTTGTTCCGCAACACTGATTTGGGGGTTGCTTGTCGGGCCAGGTCGGCGATCAAAAGAAAGTAGTTTCTGGGGAAGGGGTAGGGTGCTGGGCTACCTAGACCCCCTCGCGTCGTGCGAAACAAGAGCACTGCAGGCTCCTGGTCATATTCGGAGTCTGGGAGACCTCGCCGGACCCGGGCGCCGCCAAAACCGTCCTATAGGATGGAAAGCCGGTCCCAGGCACCCGCGCAACGTTTGCAAAACGCATGGCATCGGAGATCTGGGCACTCGGCTTGGGCGAGGGGGGGGGCATTCTGAAGCGGCAGAGTGCTTCCCAGAAGAGATCAAAGGGTTTCAAGAAGCTTCTTATGGCACGCCTCCGCGATGCTTGGAGCAATCTGGAGAACGTGTGATGCGAGTCGCTGTAAGCCGTTGTGTGCTATTGGGCTCCAGCTGGGGGCGAACGATGCGCAAGCCGTGGCGAAGCCGCATTCGCAGTCTTAAACGGCACGATGGCTTCCTAGGCGCCCCCTGCCTTCTCAGAAGGCTTCCCCCGCGCGTAACCCGTCCGTTCGCGCGTGCAAGGAGCGGCGGGACGTGCGGGCCTGGATCCTGCTGCAGGCGCCCAGACATCGCGGCGGCTTCAACAAATTGAAGAGGGGCGTTACCAGTCTGGAGCATATCCCTAAGTATCCCGATGACTGGCATCACCTGATCTCGATGCTGATTTTCTGAGGGCGCATCCCTAAGATTGTCATCGCATTTGGGCTTGTCCATCTTGGGGAAAAGGATAAGCTCGAGGCTGGTGGGATCGAGGATCGCGGCCAGAATCCCCTTCGAGGCTCGTGTCAGAGCACAGATCCGGGGGTCGACTTTGGACCCTGGGGCCCAGAACTCCGGCGCCTTGAGCAATTCGAGGTGGCGCTGGTCATTCGTTGGTGCTTGAGCCTCGGGATGCCAGGTTCAGGCCGCGATGACGGGCAACGCACAGGGTCGGGCTGAGAAGTTGGAGACCCCTTTGGAAGGCGTCGAGAGGTCCAGGAGGTCAGTGCCGTGATATATAGAGCCGCTGCGTGTCTTCGAGAGAGAGAGAGAGAGAGAAACAAAAAACAAAAAAAAGAAGAAAGAAAGAAAGACAGAGAAAGAGAACAAGGGGCAGAAGCAGAGGTAATCTTGATTCCCTGTCCAAGGGAGCTCGCTTGCGGGAGAGGGGCTTCGGGGGTGTGCCGGGGGTTTCGCATGTCTCTCTGCGTGCAGGCGCTGGGCGTTTTTCCCAGTTGGGGCGTTTGCCGTCCCGGCGCTGCCGCTGGCTTGACTTTGGGGGCAAGTCGGAGTTCGATAGACCTCCTGCCCTCACACGGCGACTAGTGGATTGGCCGTTTTCGGTTCGCGAGAAGGCGTCTCGGCTGTTATTTTCGCGGGTCCAGGTCCGTCGGTTTCGGTCCTAGGCTCGGAGGCCTGGAGGTTGACACCAGCACCAATATTGGCGTTGTGCCTCCACCGAGGGAAGAGTATCCCAATCTCGGCGATGGTGGTAATATTCTGGCGTCCTAGGCGGCCGAAAGATTGCCGCCAACACCGAAATCTGGGATCATCTCCCCCTGGTGGAGGCAACGCCCTGAGTTGGTGTTGGTGTCAATTTCCGAGCTTCCAATAGGCTGTTTTCACACAAGGGTGGTTTACTGAAAGGAAGGCGTGTCCACCGCCGAGAGGAGGCCTCAAGAGCCGCGGGGCACCCGCGGGCACGCACACCGAGTCGCAGCTTCGCGTGGGTTCCTCTTGGCTCTGCGCCGGGCTCCCCCCGGCAGCGCCTCCGGCGCCGTCCCTGGCGCGCGTTCTCGCGCGCGAGGGGAGGGGCCCAGTGTCGATCCAGGGACTCCGCGCGGGCCTCCGAGAGCTTCTGCTCGTGCAGCTTCTGATTCCTCTGTCCGGGAGGGGGACGACGGCAACTGCACGGACGTGGACGACAACCAGGACTACACCGCGGCCGCCGACCTGGAGCCCATATGCAACGTCACGGGCGCTGCTGACTGCCGGGCAGAGTGCGAGCGCATGGAGAGGTGTGGGGCGTGGACCTGGGGGAAGGTGCGCGGCTCGCTCGGCCTCACGGACTGCTGCTTCCCCAAGGTGGTGGGGCGAAGCGGGAAGGTCAGGAGGGAGGCCAACGAGAACGTCGTCTCTGGCTTCGCGTGCCGCGGAGGGAACGCAGCCCGGTACGGGGAGCTGCTATCGGAGGCAGCGCCCGACGTGCCAACCACGGCTGCTTACACTGAAGCCGGCCTGGAGCTGCCCAAGCTCACGAACGGCGATTTTTCAACGAACGACGACGGCGATTACAATCGGGTGGATCTGAATGTCAGCGATTCTCTTGTGTTTGATCTCGGCGGCGACTACGACGTGACCTCGATTTCGATTGCTGGTGGTAATGCGCATCTGGGCGGTACGGAAACACCAAAGACGATCGACATCTACACGGCTAGCAGTCTGGATGGGCCTTGGGTCCAATCTGAAACACTACAGTACCCCACCATAGTAGATAACATCGATGCTGCTATAAATGCTCAACGGAAGGACTTGCCACTGGAGTTGTTGCGAACACGCTTCGTTAAGCTGCACTTCCTGGATAATCATGGTAATGAACATGTAGCTGTCCGGCAAGTCGCGTTTGGTGGCGTTGAGTCTGTGAACGAATCAGTGAGTGAATTTGTGAGCACAACCACAGAAGTTGCTGAGCATCATGAGCCTCTGACCACAACCACAGACGCCGCTGAGCTTAATGCACCTGTGACCACTACCTCCGCTGGAATAGCCCCCTCTAGCGAGGACGAGGTTTCGGCTGCGTCGTTATTTGACGATGTCTTCCGCTCCTTCGACGACGACGAGGCGAGAGACGAGCGAGACCAGGCAGCAACAGCAGCAGGCCTGTCCCGGCATCGAAGACATCCGGCAGCAGCAGGTTCGGGCACCGCGGATACCACCACGGTGACAATCGAACAACAAACAAAGATTGACAAATGTCAGGAGGTCCGCGCGGATTTCTGGGATCGGCGCTGAGACCCCCTTGCCGGCGCGCGGAGCGCGCCAGGGGCGGGGCCAGGGGCGGCGCCGGAGGCGCCGCCAGTGGGGTCCAGCGCCGATCCAAGACATCCGCACGGACCTCCGAAAGCTTACGGTCATGCGTTTTTGGGGCTCCTCGAGGCAGCCACGCTGACCGGCGTACCGACCGCCGACAGCGCGACCGACCTGTCCACCACCACCGCGGCCGACGCAGTCGCCGCTGCTCCCGAGCCGCAGGGGGCGGCCTACGCCGCCGGGCGCCCGGGGCGCGGCTCACAGGAGAGGGAAAGTGCGCACCACCACCCGCACCGCCTCCTCCTCCTCCTCCTCCTCCTCCTCCTCCGCCTCCTCCTCCTCCTCCTCCTCCTCTTCCTCCTCCTCCTCCGCCTCCTCCTCCTCCTCCTCCTCCTCCTCCTCCTCCTCCTCCTCCTCCTCCGCGGTCTCAACACCTTGGCGCCGCCTCTGGCGGCGGTCCCTGGGGCGCCGAGCGTCCCAGGGTCGACGCGCTGAGAGCGCCGAGGCCAGCTTGGATTGCCTGGGCGGGCCGTCTGTGTGCAATCCGAGGCACTACCACTGCCATGTTCAGGAGGGAAAAAAACACACAGACACAATTAATCGTCGATTTCCCAGAAAATATTGGAAAATATGGGAAGTGGGGGGGAAGACAGAAACCCAGAAAATATGGAAAAATATGGGTGATCATTTTATTTGTGTGTATTTATTTGTGTGTCCTGGGGCCCCTTCAAATTAGGCTGGAGATTCTTAAATTGATCAAAGGTTGGTGCCTCCGGGGCTTCAGTTGCCCCCCGTTCCCCGGCGGTTCCTCGGGTTCCCCATGGGTTCCCCAGAGGTTCCTCGGGTTCCCCAGAGGTGCTCGTTCCCCAGAGGTTCCTCGTATTCTTATTGTGCTCGTTCCCCAGAGGTTCCTCGGGTTCCCCATGGGTTCCTCGGGTTCCCCGCCCCCGGCGCCTCGTGTTCTTGCGTTGCCCGTTCCCCAGAGGTTCCTCGGGTTCCCCGGGTTCCTCGGGTTCTCTGCCCTGGTTGTTGGTCTCGTCCCCCAGCAGCGCCAGGCAACGCCAAGCACCGCCAAGCACCGCCAAGCAGATCAAAGCAGCGCAAAGCAACGCCGCTAAGCAATGCCAAGCAACGCCAAGCAATGCCAAGCAACGCCAAGTAATGTCAAGCAGTGCCAAGCAATACCGAGCCTTTCAA